AAACCAACTTGAATATGAAGAACTTAGAAAGAGACAAAGAGACTCTGCCGTGGGCAAAATAAATCATATAAGAACCGCTGCCTCAGAGCAGGTGGTGTGGACGAGGAGGATTTGGTGCTAGCGAGACCAATCTCACGTCCACCCGGCTCACCTCCCGGGAGTGGTATGCTGTCTGATTGATTGGTGGCTGTCGGGACTGTATTACGGTCACGAAATAAATTTTATTTTAATTTTTTTTATCAAAATTGGCTATTTTTCATTTATAACATGGACCAAACCAAGAGAGCTTTCCCTTGGGAGTTCTCTGCTTTTAACCCCCTGTGTTCTCAGAGGCAAATCCATGTCCTTCCCGTGAAATGCAAAGCTGTGTTTCATGTCAGGTACATACAGGCAACGTGTGTATCTGTGATTGTGATGTGTGTGGAAACTGACCATGGGACAGTTATAAAGACAATTCTAATAAATAACTAAGGAAGTAAAGCATGGAAGAAGGCCTTTGAACCTATCCTTTGTTTGCAATTAACCTTTATAAGTCTTAAGTTGATTTAGGAGCATTCGAATTAAAGCTTTAAGGATGTTGCTGTTTGACAGGAACTTTCTGCTTCTAACTAAAAAGAGTTTTGCAATAATAACCTTTTGAAGTATAATTTTAGAATATTGCTTGTAGTAAGGGTCTTTGAAACTATAGCTTTAGAATATATAAAAAGGAAACATGCTTATCTCGACCCATTAACAAAATATTGAAAAGCAGCTTGAGAAAGGAAGATGAACATCAACTCAAGGATTGATAGTTTCAGCCAAGGGAAGCTGGACACCACTGCTATGAGATTTATAAACCTGTCCTTTGTTTGCAATTAACCTTTATAAGTCTTAAGTTGATTTAGGAGCATTCCAATTAAAACTTTAAAGATGTTGCTGTTTGACAGGAACTTTCTGCTGCTAGCTAAAAAGAGTTTTGCAATAATAACCTTTTGAAGTATAATTTTAGAATATTGCTTGTAGTAAGGATCTTTGAAACTATAGTTTTAAAATATATAAAAAGGAAACATGCTTATCTCAAGGTCTTAACAAAATATTGAAAAGCAGCTTGAGAAAGGAAGATGAACATCAACTCAAGGATTGATAGTTTCAGCCAAGGGAAGCTGGACACCACTGTTATGAGATTTATAGTCCTTGCAATTAAAAGGTGAACCCGCATCTGGAATCTGGACCTCACCAGCTGGGAGACTTCTTTCTTCTTTCGGAAGCTGGACCCCACCATCTGGGGACACTCTTTTCTGAGATACATCCTGAGAAAAACTAAATCACAATAGTGTACAGAATTGTGTCGTAAAAATTGGGAATAGAAACTGCTGAGAAAGCTTACGAGTACCCTGGTTGAGTTGCCTCAACCATCAGTGTGCAGTTGGAGGGAAAACTTCCCCCGCTGTACCCAGCGCTGTATTGCTCATACTTTACCATATTAATTAATAAATTGATTGCTGCTTGAATATTGGCCTAGTCAAGCTTCTCATTTATAACACCTGTAGAAATACACCTTGAGACAAATGACACTTAACAAAATTAACAGAGTAATAAAACATAACATTAGTCAGATCTTAATTTGCTTAATCTGAGCAACACTAAAATCATAACCAAATACAACAGAACTGAACTAACAATCCATATCCTTAACAGTTCTGGGTACTACAAAATGTAACTTATTCTGCTGCTATTTATACCAAAGGGCACTGAAAATGTGAACCAAGTGTGGCTGAAATGATGCCAGGATGGATTTACTGGAGGGATTAGAAAAGTGTGACAAATGTGTTGACCCTATGTCATTTAACACTGAGAAAAACTGACGGTAGCCACAAATTTTAAGGAACCATAACTTTATTAAGTCTTTTTAAAGTGCAATTGTACCAAAAGAGACAGCAATGTAGACTCTGGCAAACTGCTGAACAAACCGGGAGCTTCTCGAGATTGTATTTAGTGTAATAGCCTATGGTAAATGTTATCAGCATTTCTGTTAAAGAAATTCCATTGTGCTAGGGGCAGCCACGCGCGGGCCGCGCCTGCGACACCGCCGCGGGCTCGCCCTGCGCTCCGCCGAGCCAAAGGGACTCGAGATCAGGTCCCCAATCCGGGCCGGCAGCGCCAGAGCGGGGAAGGCGGCCATCCCGGCAAAGGCAGCGCGGCCGCGGAGGGACCGGGATATGCCTCCGAGCCCGAACGCTGATTGATCAAGCGGCCATTAGGGTGCTCTCGGTTCTACCTGCCTGCGGTTTGTGCTTCGGGACCGGACCGGCGGACAGCGCGTTCGTGTCACTGCGGAGCGGCGGCAGCCGGAGCCCGGCGAGGCGGCGGCACCCGGAGCTCGACGGGGGCTCCAGCCCAGGTGGGACCTGCGGTCGGTGCTGCCCCAGCTCGGGGCTCGCTGCGGGAGGTGTGGGGGGGTGGTGTAGGCATGGTGGATTTCTGACGAGTTCCTTTCGCTGGGCTCCCCCGTTCACAGACAGGGACCCAAAGCAGCCGTGCCGGCGCTCAGTGTCCCCGGGATCCAACCCGCTGGGACAGGGAATGCGGGGTACAATCCTGAGCACGTCTTAACCCTCGAGACGCGAACACCGAGCCGCAGGTGCCCTGTGCCAGCAGCATTCGGCAGCTCCTGGTCCAGGGGCGAGGCCGCCGTGAACCGAGACACAGTATGGGCAGTATGGGCATCCCAGAGCGGGCGTCCCGGCGGGATCAGCAGGGCCGCTGAGGCCACCGCTTCCGCCGGTGGGGAAGCGGGGCCGGGAGGCTGCCCAGGGGCAGCAGCAGAGGCACAGAGCGGTTTTGCTGCCCCGGGGCCCTGGCCTGGCCCGGCCCAGCCCAAGAATCCCTGCCATCATTCCCTGCACCATGACCCGGCCCCACGGCGGCTCCGGGAGTTCCGAGGGGGCAAAATGGGAGCGAGGGAGAGCAGGCAGCTGGTGCCAGTGGGTGAAATGGCTTTGCTGCCAGCTGGCAGGGAGAGGAGGAGGAGGAGGGAGAAAGTGGAGCAAAGTAAAGAGGAGAGAAAGAGGGACAAGGCTGGAGCGGTGGAAGGCACCGGGGATGGCCATGGGGCAGGCGGGCATTTTGCTTTCCAGCTCTGTGGGAGGAAACCAAGAGCTGTGAAATCCATGCAGAAAAAGAGGGGGGAAATAGCAGGTGGTGGAAATCTCCGACAAGTGGGATTGATTTGATCTGCCTGAACTGCACAGGCCGGCAGACTGCGAGAACAGCCACCGTTGGGAAGTTCCTGGCCCCGCCCCCCCCCCGGCGGCCGCATCCGCCTGTTGAGATCCCCCAGGGGCTGCGGTTCTTCAGCAGCTTCTCCGGTGTTGGGCCCTTTTTCTTAGCGCAGTTTTCAGCTCCTGGCTCCCATCGCATTTTAGAGCCGACCAGCCGGGCAGATACTGAGGGCCGATCTCATCTCCAAGCGCCCGGCCCGCCAAATTGGTTCCCAGATATTAAATGTAATCCCCAGCGGTCACGTCATTACATACGATCTCTTCTTGGCGGCCGGCAGGCGAGCTCCGAGCCACTTTCCCCGCAGGCTGCTTGGCAAAAGCAGCCAATACCTCTCCCACACCCTCGGCTCTAACCTGCGGTGGCGGCGGTCGTGCACGGTATGTGTAGCCAGGACCGGAGCAGCGGAGGCACCCGGAACCCGGCGAGGACACGGGCCGAGGCTGCGGGCAGCGCCGAGCTCCCGGAGGCTGCGCTTGTCTCCGCAGCTGCTGCCGCAGCTCTGGGCAGCGGGGACAGCGCAGCCAGAGCTGGCAGCGCCCTCCTGAGCCCCGGGCTCCCGCAGGGCCGGCAGCAGCAGTGACCTCTCTGCGTGTCCCTTGCAGGGTGCCATCAGCGCGGCTGTGAAGCTGTTCCCGAGGGCCTGAAGGTGACACTTTTGGACTGTTCTTGGAAGAGGAAGAAGAGCAGCTGACACTTGGTGAGGAGGAATCCCACTTTTGGCATCAGGCACTTGACTGTGAAGAAGGCTCTGTCAGCTGCTGGCTCTCTCTCTCTCGATTTTGGAGGAGGACGGATGGAGCTGCTGCTTGGGGAAGGGAATTCACTGCCATGGCCAAAACCCAACCCAGAGCTGCTTCTTCTGCCTTCTCCCTCAGTTCATCAGTCAGCCAGGCCTTGCCACTGCACACTCAGCTGCAGATCCTCATGTGTGGGACTGGCCCCGCTGTGACCCAGAGTCAGCTGGATTTTACCCCAAAAGACCCAGGCATTGGTTCCAAGCCCTGGGAATCATTTGTTTAATTCAGGGCCAGCCTGAGAGTTCCCCCAAAAGCCTTTGGTGTTTTTGTGTGAAGTTGCCCAATTTCTGCTCCCCTTGTGCTTGCTTGTTTCCCCCCTATGGTTACAGTTCTAGAATGTTCCACCCCCGAGTCTATAAATTGTTGCTTCCCCTTTGTTTGGGGTCTTTGGATCCTGTCCCTCCTGTTGTGCACGGCTTCTCCACGTTTGTTGTTTCTCACCCTTTATTAAAGTTCTTTCTGGGCAGCCCCATCTAAGCTGCTCCTTTTCCTTTTCACCACCCTCGCCTGAAGTCAGGAACCAGAGAGGTTTGTCACAGCCACCCTCACTGTGACACTTACAGAAAAGCCTTTAGAAATACTTTTAGCATAAATAGTGCATTGTTCACACATTCCTTAGGAGCCAATTCCCCTTTCTTGTTGTTTTAAAAATAACATGCATGTCTCTTGCTATGAACATGGAGGGAACATCAAAACAAAACAATATATGCAGTGAAACAAGATACTGACAGTAATCAAGAATAAGTCAGATAATACAGATAATTAATAACACATGGGAAATTGGATGATTGTCAATGTCTTAAATACTGCACCATCACCCAGAGGCTGCAGCAGCTGACAAACCTCGTTTCAGTGAGGACCTGGAGAGCCATTCCTGGGAAAGGTGTCCAAGCTCACTGTAAAAATAGATTCAGCTGTCCTATTGTTAGAGGGTCAAACTGCCAAGTGCAAGAGACTTGAATCGAGTTTTGAGGCAGAAAACACCTGGGTTTGTTGGCAATTTTCCGAGCAGGTGGAGGCAGGGCCTGGCCAGAGCCCAGACCCTCAGTGGGAGGGTCTCCCTCACACACCTTAAAAGCAAGTCTGTCAATAATAGCAGCTGTGAGATGCCCAAAGACAGCAAACTGCTGCAGTGCTCCTGGGAGAATACCTGGGGCTGTGTCTGATTGCCACAGAGCAGAGCAGCCTTGCCCTCAGCAGCTCACAGCCCTGTCCCACAAGGATGTGTCACACAGGGGTCGGTACAGACCACAGGAGCCTCAGCTCAGATGGGGCTTTCCACAGAGCCCAGAGATCTTATCCTGGAGCTCTGAAACCACAGGAGAATCAGGAGCCAGCCCTGGGTCAAGGCACAGCAGCCCTGCTGAAACAAGAGAAGGGACCAAAGGCTGAGGAGGCAGTGCAGGGAAGGCTGCAGACAGCCTGTTCAGAGAGAGGCACCTGCAGCTGCAGAACAAACCAGAGATGCCAAAGTGACACGTGTCTGTGGGCAGTTACACAAAGATGTGCCAAAGTTTGTGAAAAGCCAGCTATAAACAAGGTAATGACATCTTATGAACAATGCCTGTTCTAAAAATCAGTGAGTCCACCTGATGGAACCAAGACATCAGCAGTGACTGCCTCAGGAATTTGAGACAATATTCTCCCAGCATTCATGGATCCATAGCAATGAAACACTGAAGAGCTCCCAGTGGATCACAGCCATAGTGCAGAACAACCCCCACTCTGCTGTGTTATCTGTGGGAGATAAAACAGAAGAGATGACAAGGAATGATGCTGTTGGGCAGTGCAGCACTGACACCTGTGCAGTCTGTGAGAGGATCGAGGGCTCAGCAAACTGTGTCTTCTTCTGTCCAAGGGCAGGTGTTTGTCAGTGTTCCATCACTGCTGTTTCTGCTGGATCTGTCTCATCTCTAGAAGGAAATAACTGCATCTTCCAATGTAAACAAATATATTGAAACAAAATTAACTTGGGATTTAAAATTAATTGCAGTGCAATGTCACCTCAGCAGCATTAGAGCTACACTTAAGAGAACTTAAAGTTAACATCTTTAATACTGAATAAAAACCGATCTTATGACACTGGAATAGAAGATGAAAAGGGTTAAAGTGAAGAAAACTGAAACTTGACCTTGTCCAAAGTGAGCAACACTCAAACCTGACAGAAATACACCTCAACTTAAATGACTCTTAACAAACTTCACTCAATAGAGTAATAAAACATAACTTTACTCAGATCTAACTTTGCTTAATCTTAGCAACACTAAAATCATAACCAAACAGAACCGAACTAACAATCCATATCCTTAAAAGTCTGGGTAGTACAAAATGTAACCGCAGCGGGCTCACACTGCGCTCCGCCGAGCCAAAGGGACTCGGGATCAGGTCCCCAACCCGGGCCGGCAGCGCCAGAGCTGGGAAGGCGGCCATCCCGGGGAGCGGGGAGCGCCGGGAGAGCGGCCGGGGTGCCGGATGGCCGCGCCTCCGCGCCGCCCCTGGCTGCGCTCCCGAGCGCCGATTGGCCGAGAGCCGCCCACAAATTCCGTTCAAATTTTTGGCGGTGCAGCGTTCGTGTCCTGGCGGGGCGGCGGCACCCGAACCCGGCGGGGCGGCGGCACCCGGAGCCCGGCGGGGCGGCGGCGGAGCTCGGAGGCGGCTCCAGCCAGGTGGGAGCGGGGGTTGTGCCCCGGCTCGGGGCTCGCTGCGGGCGGAGGGGCCGCGCTGAGGGGCACGGGGGGGTTCTGGCGAGTTCCTTGTGCCGGCTGCCCCCGGTCACTGGTGTGAAAACCAGAATTCACTGCTTAGTGTTTTTAAAAGTATAATAATAATAATAATAATAATGATTGTGATAGGATAAAAAAGGACAATATTGCCAGCGGTGGGTGCTCCTAGTAAACAGCCAAAGAACACAAGGATATACAGACAGTGTTATATTTATGCTGTTACCTCGCTAAGATACATACATATTCGTGTCTTTGATGCATTATTCAGACATTCTTTCGAACTTTCTAATGTTTTGGGAACTCCTTTTTCTGACTCCTTCACACTCAGACTTGCATGCATGATGTCCTGGCTGTGCGGTTAATATTTTTTATTTCTTCCGGTGCCTCCAGCCTGCTGTTTCACACCCTCTGGTAATATTTTAGCTGTCCTCCTTAATTTTAACATGGTCTTCTCTGCTTGTCCTCCAGTGTTCTGGTTTGTGTCACAGTTATCTTACCACTTGTGTGAGAAACAACTGCTTGCTTTGAAAATTAAAAAAGGTTAATTAAACCTTAAGAAAAATACAACAAAGGACTACATAAGGCAAAAGCTGCAGCGCTGGAAACTGCCCCTCGTACATACCCAGTTCCACTTCAAGATGGGTGCTCAGGCTTTTATACTCCTGGGGGTTGCATCAGCCAGCCCTGGCCGCTCCCAAAGTCTGTCAGTCAGCTCTTCCTTGCCATTTATGGGTGGAGACTGCGTTCTTGTAACTGGATTGGAGGTCAAGTGTTGCCTTGCCTCGCTCCCTAAGCAACACGCTTTTCTATTATCAACTGCCCCATGCAAGGTGCACATGTGCACGCTTTTCTTCTACCTGTCCTGGACACCCCCTGCTGTCTGATGGGTACAATACAAAGGGAAAAGGGAACTACGGGGAAAACAGAGACACCTGAACTACAACAACATAACTATACATCACTAAAGCTTTTCTTAATATTCACCCAATATTTCTCTTTTAATTGCAAGAGCAAATAATATCATTATCTACATATAACAATTGGATGGGTGACTCAGTGGATGAATTCACACTGTTTTTAGTCACCAAAATAATTTTTCACTTCTGATGTTTTGTTAAGATCAATAACAGTACATTCATGTTATTTCCATAAGTGATACATAGATGTTATATACTTCACACTACTATTTCTATGAGCAATGCAGTGCATAATTAAGCTGAATATTATATATTATATATTATATTAGCATTGACCTAAAAAGAGTTATAATTGATACTATATCGAAATAACTGTAATCACTAACAACATGCATGGGCGAATAGGTAAATGTGAAAGCCAAAGTTATCTGGTCATTTTCACACGGGCAGGGAGCCAGAGCGGCCGTGCCGGCTGAGCTCGGTGTGCCCGGGCTCCAAGGCGCCGGGGCAGGCAATGCGGGGCACAGCGGCGAGCAGCCCGGCGCTGCTGGCTCTCGGCCCTCGGCAGGCGGACTCCGAGCCGCAGCTGCCCCGGGCCAGCAGCAGGCGGCAGCTCGCAGCCGCTGTCAGCGCCTGTCCCGGCACGGAGCTGGGCTGCAGCGGCTGCAGAGCCACAGGGGCCGGGGCTGCGGGCAGCGCCGAGCTCCCGGAGGCTGCGCTTGTCTCCGCAGCTGCTGCCGCAGCTCTGGGCAGCGGGGACAGCGCAGCCAGAGCTGGCAGCGCCCTCCTGAGCCCCGGGCTCCCGCAGGGCCGGCAGCAGCAGCGACCTCTCTGCGTGTCCCTTGCAGGGTGCCATCAGCGCGGCTGTGAAGCTGTTCCCGAGGCCGAGCTCCCAAAGGATCTGTCAGCGCTCCTGATGCCTCCGGAGCAAGGCGCTGTTTGTTCCTGTCAGAGAGATGCAGGCTGTGAGCTGGAAGAGAGTGAATTCTGCTCCATTCATGTAGTTGGGAAGGAGCCCCAGCATCCCCAGAAGGAACCAGCAGCCGGGGTTCAACACTCGCCTGGGGCACAAGAAGCCACTTGGCATCAGCAGGGGGCTGCCACTTGTGAGCGTGCAGTGAGTGAAGATGTGGAGAATGGATTCTGCACCAGGGATGG